GGCTGAGAAATGGGTTTCCAGCACCTCCAATTATGTAATCCTAGGAGAACTTGACCATCCTGGGAACATTCCAGTGCTGTGCAGGGAGGACACTGGGCAACAGTCACTGAAGGTCTTCTAAATGTCTCCTCATTATCCACAGTGAATTCCAACATTATTCCCCCAAATGCCAAAAAATAAGAGAGATCTGTGGTTTAACAAATTGGAAAAACTCACATTGGTGAGTTGAGTTTTGCATTATTGATCATAATGAGGCTCTGGGAAGGCATATGAAAGTCTAATTTTGTTTAATTCTTTACTTCCCAAATTTAATGTGAATTCCCTCTGAACTGAACAGTTATAAAGATGTTTTCCCTTTGTATGTTTTTTGCAATGAACCATTATTACTAGAAAACAAATCAACAAATGTGTGAGAAAAGAAACAATAGAATGTGTTACCTGCAGGTGATCTGAGATCCTGATTTTCCTCACCAAGTTTATCCCCATACAACAAGCACAACTGAAATCACATTCTCTGCCTATTTATTGTTTAGAGCAGCATTTCTTGAAGTATGTTCCATAGATGAATAATTTCCAAAGATATCAGTAAATGTTCTACAAAAAAAAAGAATTTCTGAGTTACAAAGGTAGAAATTTACAAGGTCCTGATTGGACATCTCAGAACCTTGAATATCCTAATATAAATTTTGCCTTCCCCAAAGGCATGAATTCACTGTGTTTTACACAATTTATGTGACCATGGATCACTTTTTTGTTAATATCTTGATAGAGACTTTAAAAAAATATAATCAAAGATACTTTAGAGAACTCTAGCTTACGATTTTAACAAAGTGTTTGAAGAAAGAGATGGCATGGGATTAAAAGTTCACAGCAATTATCCTAAGACCATAGTTGACCTCTGAGACCTTACCAACAGAAAAATACAGAGAAATTTGCCTATTACATAAAAATCAAGAGACTGTGTTTTGAAATATTAAGGAAAGATAGATAGCATTATGCATTAGGTATGTGTCCCCCAAAAGCTCTCGTGTGAGACAATGCAAGAATGTTCAGAGGTGAAATGATTAGACTATGAGAACGTTAATCTAAATGGTGGATTAATCCACTGATATGGATGAACTGGGTGGTAACTGTAGGTGGGTAGGGTGTGGATGAAGAAAGTGAGTCACTGAGGGTATATCTTGGGGGTATTTAGTTGGTCCCTGGTGAGTAGAACTCACCCTCTGCTTCCTGCTTGCCATATCCTGAGCATCTTTCCTCTGCTACACCTTCCACCAGATGTTCTGCCTTACCTTGGGCCCAGAGCAAGAAAGTCAGCCAACCATGGACTGAAACCATGAGTCAAAATAAACGTTTTCTCCTCTAAGTTGTTCTTGTCAGATCTTTTGGTGACAGTGATAGAAAAAGATGACTAAAACAGAAATATAAATAGATATAGGACAATTAAAATAGAATCAATAAAATAAATGATATATAAGCAAATAGATTGATATATATTATCATAATTATATATATATATATATATCCAAATTATATTTCCCCAACTGGATGAAAATATTGAGTGTGTGGGTGTGTTTCTCCTTTCATTTGATCAACCAATATTTATTCAGCATCATTTCTGTTACAAATACAGATATAGTGCTAATGATATAAAAGCACTTAGGTAAGTTCATAAGCTCTGAGAATTTAGTCTCATTACTGAGGCTACCTTATAAATATACCAAAGAAAATGACAAGGTGGGCACAGAGCTGTGTCTGGGAAGCCAGGGGTCATAAAAGGGGGCCCAGGGCTTATAGACATGTGGTTCAGGAAAGACCTCTTAGAAAAGTGGATTACTGACTGAGACTCCCAGCCTCTATTCCACCCACCTTCCACCAGCGCCCTCACTTGAAAATCTCACAAAACATGGAATTGCATCCTGTAAGTTTATCTTCTTTTTTGTAGCTCTGATATGAGTTTAACAATAATGGTAATCTCTTTAAAAATTCAATCAAAAGCCACATTTACCCAATGTTAATAAAATGCTGTCATTAAAATAATAAATGTGATCCCCTGTGCTATCTAGAGAATAAGAAATTATCAATAATGAAGATTTTTTAAAAAAAAAATAGTATTAGTTCCAAAAATGAGGTTGGGATTGTCAGATCAGCCATGTTGAAGAAATACTGAAAAATCCTCTTTATTTTTGCTGACTGTAATCTGCCACTGAATTGAACCTTTGAACCATCGAATCATTAATTTTTGAAAAATCACATTTTGCCAGCCAATTACTCAGCATCCCATGACATGATCAATGATGTTAAAGGTTTTCAGCTCATTGTATTAATCAATTAAGCACAGAATATAAACAAAAAACAACTGTCAGCTGATCTGGATCTATTGCCGATGAACCGCTGTTTAAAACAATTAATAACGAAGTAATGCCTGAAAACTAAGGGCAAAGGCCTAATTGATTTTTCAAAAGTAAGAACACTCTAAATGCTCAATTAGTTAATAATTTGCCTACTAATTGATTTCTTCAAGGTGTCTGACTGGCAAAATTGAGAAAGGTTCTATAATCGCTATCCTTCTACAAAAAGCTGTCTCTAGGCATCTCGGAGGGTTAGAAGATCAATTTAGATTCCCATTAATAGCGTAGGAAACTTTCTCCAAGGATGAAAAAGCAACTATCAAAAGCAAAGAAATTATCAACTAATAAAACTCTGGGGAGTGCTTTCTGAAATGAACTAATGTCATGAAGAACACTAATAAATTAAACAGGAAAAATAAATAAATGAAATGTTGCAAATATTTATTAGAAATAACAGACGCTTACCAAATGCAAAAGGACAAGTTTGAGACTGAGAAACTGGTGATTAAAATGCTTTTAATTGCAGGTAATGATCTAAATAAAGAGAAATGAACATAGGAGGATGCTGAGAATTCTTCTAACCGTCTTCTGTCCCTTAAATCTGTATTTTCAGTACACAGGGCAAGCTACAGGACTTTCTGGTGATGGACTCTGATGAATGGTAGGTTATAGAGATTATAAATGCTAAAAAATAATCCAAAAGCACCTTGAGGGTAGATTACGCAGCCAACAGTGTATTAATAACACTTACTGTGTGGCTGTCACTTTGCCAAGCATTGTGTGCAGATGAGCTCATGTAATCCTCACAGGTTCCTGGGAGAGGTTACATGTCTTTCCAGCTGGCAGACAATATGTTTGGAATTTGAATCCAGACAAAGTGGCTGCAAAGTCCATGCCCCCAACATTCACATTCGCCTTTATAAAGTCATGCACCATTTTAGCAATTTGCATAGGCTTTCCTGTTTCATCTCAAGCCTGTGTGTCAGGTACTATAGACCTTAAAAAATTCTAACCAAGAAATTTACTTCAGGGCCACTGGGCCAGTACATATAATCTCCTAGAAGCTTTCAGGCCTGAGATCAGAGCATATGGTCTTGGGGCCTAAGTATGAATAGACAGGCTGGGGCTATACCTGAAAGTAGCTGATGACCTTGGGTGTTTAATTGCTCCTTGATCCTCCTTGTCCTCTTCCCCTCACTCCTTCCTCAAATTTAATACCATTTTAATACACTGTTCTTCTCAGGGATGATTTTTCACAAGAACAAATCATGTGTAAATTTTATGAAGTGGGAGGATGTTTACACTAGCAGGAAGATAGATGCCAGATAGATAGATAGATAGATAGATAGATAGATAGATAGATAGATAGATAGATAGATAGATATTTACATGCAAAAAAAAAATACTCTGAGTTCATTATGGTAAGTTGCCTCACATGATGACCAAAATAATTAACTTAAAAATAGCAAGCACACATGAACTGCTGAGCTAATGACCAGGAAATAATTTCCTCCACACGGAGCACCCGGCAAGGCAGAGGACCCAGTAGACCCTGAAGAGAAGCTGGAGAAAGGAGGCAGATGGGCTGGGAGTGGCTCTGAGCAGAGAGGCAAGAGCTGGGAGTCTGGGCTCTGGGCTCTAACTTCACTGTCACCCGTGGCATCGTGTGGGGTGGGGTGCTCATTAGGAGATGAAAGAGCAGCTTTTTCCAACACCATCAAACGACCCAAAGTCTTACACACTGGTTTCCAGTGTCTCTCCCTCTCCTTTCCCACCTCTTCACCTTCTGGGTAAAGAGAGAGGCAAACAGAGCGTGATCCAATAAGTATGTTTTAGAATCAGAAGCATCAGTATTTCTTCTTGGTTGATTCTTTAGTAATCGGAATTTGAATCCAGACAAAGTGGCTGGGAACTGTCCACTATTAATAAAAGATGAGATGTATAATTAGAGTTTTAAGATTCTAACTCTCGGTCCTCTTTTTCCTTATTTTGAAAGTGGAAATCAGCATTGGGTCTGTGTGGTTCCTTGCCTTCTCTGCTCTTCTCCCCCTGTAGCTAACTGTGGGTCATTCTAGCCTGAGTGAAAAGCTAGGGTTCCTTTTCTTTCTTCTCCTTGACCTTGCCCCTGTGTGTCCAGCCATATGCTTTGCCTCTGGGCAGAGATTACATAGAATATACAGACTAAAGAGTGACCCTGGCTTTGGAGTTCACATTTGCTTCTGGCTTTCATAGGTTAAGCCGTTGACTTGAAATTAAATCCTTCTAATTTATAATCATCAGAATATTTCCCTACACACACACACACACATACACACACACACACACATTTTCTACATTTGGTTTTATGAATGTAAAGCCAAGCTCCAAGGAATTGGGTCACAATTGTATGTTCTCGTGCTAGACTGGGGAATAGATGGTTGAGCAGTGAAAATACAGTCTAGAAAACTAGATCTTCCCCCCCACCCAAAGAAGAAAATACTGTCAACTGCTGGTTTGTTTATAAGAAGGCGGGGCAGCACCAATAAGGAGGCAGAAGGAAGGCAAGACTGAAGCTGCTGGTGGGCTCAGGGGGTATCCAAGGGCAGAAAGAACCCCAAACCATTATGGCCTTACGAAGACATCACTATGACAACCAGCAGCCATGTGGACGCCCTGAAGCAGCATCAGGAACAGTGTCAGGGCCTGTCTAGGCAGAGGACCTGTGTGAACCCTCTGGGAGCATGAAGCAACCATCCAGGAGTGTCTTGCATTCTCAAGAGGATAAGTGGAGTGTATGAGAAGAGACACCAAACCAGGAGGGACCTTTCACCAGCACCAGGCAGATCCTGGGTGAGCATATTCACCTGATACCAGCAAAGGTGGAGAATGAAAGGAAGTTTTTTGCATAGAAGGTGGTGGTGCAAGATAGCAATCTAATCCTTATTTCCCCCCTTTAAAAGTATGATTTTTCATATCTCTGTTTGTATATAAAGTAGATTGACACCCAATTTGTGTCTCCATATATGTACTTTGGATAATGATGTCCATCACATTCCACCATCCTTGCTAATCCTCTGCCCCCTCTCTTTCCCTCCCACCCCTACTCCCTATCTAGAATTCATCTAATCCTCCCCACCCCACTATTGTAATGAAAAAAAAAAAAACCAAAGTACATGTATAAAGACATGAATTGGTGTGAACATACTTTATATACAAAGATATGAAAAATTTTGCTCTATATTTGTAATAAGAATTGTAATGCATTCTGCAGTCCTGTACTTAAAAAAAATAAAATCAATTAAATTAAAATAAATAAATAAATAAATTTTAATTTTCCTGAATTCATGGTCTATATGCAATTATAATCTCTACAATGAAAAGGGTTCAATTTGAAAAATGTCTAAGCCCCTCCATGTTCACTAAAACAAATTGAAAAATACATACAGTGACTGTCTTAGTCCATTTTGGCAGCTGTTACAAAATATCATGAACCAAGTAGCTTCTAATCAACAGAAATTTATTTCTCAGAGTTCTGGAAGCTGAGTCCAAGACCAAGTCACCAGTGAATGTATTGTCTGTTGTTATGATTCATAGATGGTATCTTTGTTCTCACATGATAGACGTTAACAAACTCCCTTAGGCTTATTTTATAAGGGCACTGATGTCATTCACCACAGCTCTGCTGCCATGACTATCACCTCCCAAGGTGCCCGCCCCCCAAAGCCAAACCTCAGTAGTAAGGATTTCAAGAAATTAATTTTGCTGAAATACAATCATATAGACCATAGTTAACTAGGAGTGATGCTAGCTTGAACACTTCTTATATGCCACAGTTAAAAATATTTTGTGGAATAGATCAATGTTCATAGCAGCATTGTTCACAATAGCCAAAAGATGGAAGTAACTCAATGTCCATCAATGGATGAAAAAATAAGCAAATATGGTGTATACATGCAATGGAAGAGTATTCTGCCATAAAAAAAAAGAAGCTTCTTATGCATGCTACAACATGGATGAAGCTTGAGGACAGTAGATTCAGTGAAACAAGCTGGTTGCAAAAGGAAAAATTTTAATGTTTCATTACATTCACTTTTATTGGTGTCTTAGAGCAGTCAAATTCATACAAACAAAAAAATAAAATGTTGATTGTCAAAGGCTAGGTATAGAGGGGAGTGGGCAGAGTTATTAAATGTTTAATGGATATACAGTAGGGAGTTACTTAGTATTTCAGAGTTATGGTGTTTCACTTTTGCAAAATAAAAAAAAAGAGTTCTGTGGATGAATATAACTATTGGAGGCAGAAAAACGAAGGAGTTAAGACCAAATACACCAAATTGGGGAATGGAATATTCCAAGAGGAAATCCCTTAAGGAATTCTAACCTGAAAGGGCCATTTGTCGGTCTTTCCCTACCTGTAGCCAGCCATAAGATTCCTGTGGGAGAGATGTCTTTCCCATACCAAGGCGGCAGGATAGCCTTGATCACCAGTCTAGTAACTGAGTTGTCATTAACCTGGATAAACAAACTCTGAGGTCACCTTCATCCTCCACTAGCTTTGGCTCCCTCACATACCTCAGTAATAACCCTAGAATTTACTACCTTGGTCCACATGCCCACTTGTCCTGTCATTCCTGCAAAAATTTATTGTCTTTGTCTGAAAAGTGTGTAAGCATCATGCTTTGGTCACTTTTTCAGACTCCTTCTAGTGCAAGTCCCGGTATATGTGTAAAAGGAAGGCCGCTTCGACTCCTTCCTCTTGTTAATCAGCTCTTGTATTAACTCGGCCCCTAGAGTCAATGAAAGAGCTCACCTAAGGATTAAGAGGGGTCTAGAGGGTCTCTCCCTTCAACAATATGCCTAATGCCATCGGTCAAGAGAGTCAATTAAAATGGTCAAGATAGTCAATTTTACATCATGTGTATCTTAGCACAATTTTAAAGAAGAATGAGGACCAAAAAAAATTCTTTGTGGAATAATGAGAAACTTCTCTTTTGAATTTTACCTACACACCTGCACTACAGAAAATATGAAAATATATCACTTTTCTATGCTGGGCACAGGGGCTCATGCCTGTTATCCCAGGGACTCAGGAGGCAGAGGCAAAAGGAAAATAGTAAGTTCAAGGTCATCCTGGGCAACAAACAAGATCCTGTCTCAAATCAAAAAAGGGCTGGGGATGTAGCTTGGTGGTAAGTACCCCTGAGTTCAATTTCAAGAATAAAAACGAATAAACATCACCCTAAGTACATGTATGAAGACACAAATGGTGTGAATATACTTTTGTATACAACCAGAGATACAAAAAAAATTTTGTGCTCTATATGTGTAATATGAATTGAAATGCATTCTGCTGTCACATATAACAAATTAGAATAAAAAAATAAATTTAAAACAATTTTTAAAAAAAACCTCACTCTTCTATGCAGTGAAGTTAGGTGATGATCAGGGCTGTGTAATTTCCAAATTCACTCTCAGTTCTCCTGAGTCCAACTCCAGTATTCTCTCACTAAACTCTAATAAATGTACTCTTGAGTAAATATGAGCAAATAACATATATACATTTCTCCAAATATTAGTATAAAATATGGTGTGGGATGCTTATTAGGAGGCAAAATAATAAATGTACATAATTGAACATTTTAATATTAACTTTGATTGGTGAATTTTATTTTAAAATATTTTTAACTAAAAATATATTTTCAGTGTCTTTGAGGCCAGTAATTCCGCTAAGTCCACTTACAGTCTTTATTCTTGAAAATAGTAAATTAGATTTACTAAGTATTTAAATATTAACTAGTTCATTTTCATTGTCTCTACCATTGAACTGATAGAGATTTATCCCTGCCTGCTTCTTAGAAAGAATCTGAATTTTATGTACTACCCATTGTTACTGAAGTCCAATAAAATATCCACTTATTGTACATACATGTGAAATGGTAAGAGACAGCTGTCATGAAAACTGAGAATCACTTTGGTACTATACAATATTCAGACATCATTGGAAAGAACTTATAAATTCCAACAGTCTAAAAGTTTATATTCAAAGTGGCACAATGTTTTGTTAACACATTTATGATTCTATATGCAATGGTCATTTTATTCCATTGTGTTCATCAGAGGTTTTATTTTGCTGTAGACTCAAAACAAATTAGGACTTTGTTGCCCCTCACACTCATACCTAGAAGGAAGCAGCATTTTATGAGAGAGCATTGGTGTGGGAATAGGACACCTGGGCTCCTCCGCTATAGGACCTTGAACAGGTCATTTTACCTCCCTTGAACTCATTTTTCTCCTCAATAAGAAAAGAGAGTAAGAGCAGTTGGATTTGAATGTCTTTTCATCTTTTAAATCCCAGGAGGACCCAAAGCTTCTGAGACTGTGATGTGCATGTCAGATGCTCTGACCAGTCCAGCCAGCACTCATGCCCACAGTAAAGCTGAGCTTTACCTTCACTAAGTTGGAATGAGCCAGTTTGACTCCCTTTATCATTCCTGCAGGGCTTCATTAATGATAGTAGTGACAGGCAAGGTTTATTGAACCTGGTTTGTGGTTCGTTGGTTATTAAAACAGCTCTAATTCTCCAAGCCTCAACCCTATATACATACCCTCTTCAGCTCCTTCTATCATGGGTAGAATCCATGTCGTCACATTTGAATCCTGACTTGCTTTGTGACATGGTTTGGCCAAAAGAAGGCAATAGGTATAACACTGTGCCAGCTGAGCCTAGGCCTCCAAAGCTTGCTATGGGAACTCAGGTGACCTGCCAGAAGACAAAGAGCACAGGAAACAGAGTTGTTCTACTTATGGCTCCAGACAAGAAGAGCAAAGCTTCCTAGCTGATGTGCAGCTGGCCCAGAGATGGATGAATACACCCCAGAAAGCCCAGCTTAATTCAGCGATCAACCATGCTAGAATGATAAATGATTATTGCTTTAAGCCATCAAGTTCTGGCGTGGGCTGTTATGTGTGTCTTTATGTCAATAGAAAACTTTTACCCTTCTCTAATCGCATCATATAGTTTTCTCAATTATTCCTTTTAACACCCTTATATATGAGAGGTTTTATTATTGCCCCACTTTAGAGATAAGGAAACTGAGGCACACAGATACTAGTTAATTTTCCCAAGAGCAAAAACTACTATATTTTACAAATAATAAAGAATCTTTGATTTTAATATGCACTGTTATTTTTAAATGGCTAAAAAATGAAAGTAGTGAGACTTAAAAAAAAAGATTCATCCTAAATTTCAGAGATGTTAAAACATGAAGAAGAAGTGCATCTTAGACTTGATGAAATGTGAGAGTAAGAGGTGGGGGTAGGGCCATTGGTGTGAGCAGTTTCACTTATTTGCAGTAATTGGAGATACTTCATCTTCAACTGGTAGCTTGAGAATTGTATACAACTTTGACAGTTTTCTAAAATGGCAGTGATGCGTTTTCTCATCTTAAAAGTTTTTCCTATATTATCCTGGGCTTTTCAATTTTTCTTCTGCATTCTGTAAACTGTGCTCTGTCCCTGCGGCTCTTACTGGAACTCCTGTTCTTTGCTGTATACTTCACTGCCTGTGTTATTTCATTAACATTTTCTCTTTCTAAGTCCCTCTCTGGTTGGTTTAGTCTGCTAAAAATTCCTCCAATTTATCTATGTCTCTTAAAAGAAATTAGATGCTCACTTACTAAATATAGTATTAACGAGACCTAATCACTAGTGCTGAATTAGATTAATTACCTTGCTTGTTTTGAATGTGACACTCATCAGTCAATTAATATTCCACAAATGTGTGATTCCCCTATTGCATTTCCTAAGACAGATGAATCTGACCATAGCTTTGGGATGTAGGTAGATGAGGATCGAATATTGCTTCTTTCTGCCACTTGTTATTTATATAACCTTGGGCAAGTTACTGTCTTTGAGATCCAGTGTCCTCATATAAAAATGAACATAAACTCACTTCATTCAGTCTTTATCACTCAGGATTTTTCCAGAGCAGTAGAATTAGTGGGAGGTTGGGTGTGCACCTGTGTGTGTGGTTCCTAATAAGGATTTGGTCTTACGCAGTTTTGAGAGCAGATTAGATCATCAAAGTGAGGTTGTTCCTCTGCCACGGCCTGAAGTCAGCAGGGCCAGTAATCTGGAAGAAGAGATGAACACGAAGGATCAACTGGAATCAATAAGGTAAGAGGAATCCATGAGGATGTTCTGGAGCCCACATTGATCTCTCACTGTCCCCAGACTCCAGCATGAATGACAGGGGTAAGTCACTCCCTCCATCAGAGAGCTAAGCGGGCACCTGGTGAGAAGTTGAAGAATCGAAGGACTCTGATGTTGAAGGTCACAGAGGTTGCTGGAGGTACTGCCGGTCTGCTGCTTCCTTGTGAAAAAGAGTCACCAGGACATTCAGTGCAGAGTGCATAAGCCACAACAGCACCTGGCGCCCAGCACTTAGTGTCACCATATTTAGCAAATAAAAATAGAGTACCCTGTTAAATTTGGATTTCAGTTGAATAATTAATTTTAAGTGTGTTCCAAATAGTGTGTATAAATGTTTTAGTATCAGTATGTCCTCTGCAGTTTGGGGACATATTTACACTTAAAACTTAACATTGTTCTCTTGAAATTTCAAACTTGATTAGGCATTCTGTGTTTTATTGGCACCTGCACTGATCTTCAGAGTAAAAATCGTTACCTGCACTGACCTTCAGAGTGTAAAACCATGAGTTCTCTATATCTCCCAATTCATATGTAAATTGGAAGACAAAAATAGAGAAGTCATTGTCTGATGGGTAAATCCTAAAGCAGTGATGAGACATCACTTCAAATCCATCGTTGGCCGCTGTGAAAGGAACAGAAATCAACAAGTGTCCAGAGAAACTGGAAACTTTGCACTATTGGGGATAATGTAAAATAGTTGCAGCCACTGTGGAAAATCATACATAGTTTCCTTAAAATATTAAAAATGGAATTTTCATATGATCCAGCAATCCCACTCCTGGGTATATTATTCAATATCAACGTGTTAAAGGATCATCTGTTCCAACAGCTAATTTCAGGACTCCTCTTTAGAAAAAAAAAAAAGTGGGAAAATGCCTTATACTACTAACATTAATGATGAAAAGCGTGCATATTCCACCAAACCCAGGCCTCACAAGAATTGAATGATAAATAATCCCTAATGAAATAAGGAGGAAATTTTGATTATTTGAGACGGAAAAGGAGCAAGCAGTAAAATAAGGAAAAAGAAGGAGGTTAAAGAGACAAAAGATGGTGAAAGGAGGGCGAGGGGTGTTACTAGGGGACGGAAGTCGGGCACTTGCTTGAGTCAAGCTGTCTGATGCTCCATTGGGTAATTGCACTTCTCAGCTGGGTGCATCCCCTTTCTGCAGCTCTGTATTTCTGCTGCCGTCCCTGAACCCCACCGCAGCCCTCAGCTCTGTGTCCTGAACTCAGGAATGCTATGGAGAGATTATTATTGTTGCTTTGGAAGAAGCCACACGTCACCTTGACTAACCAATAGAGATCTCAAATTCAAGTCAAGAGGCATCCATGACAATATAAGCTACCTGGGAATTTAAAGATATCTAGAATGTTCTGGAGTTTTCCACAGATTGGATACAAGGTTAAGAGGACGTTATCTAGTGCTCAAGAGGCTGAGAGAATCCAGCCGGCATCCACACTACATTTCATTTGGGGAGTATTAAAATGACCTTCTTCTATGAAATGGTGGTAATAACTGATCTTTTCAAATGTCATCCCAACGTAGTCTCCCCATTTACAAGCATTAATAATAACACTTCCCAGAAACACATGTAAACATACACACACCCCCCTAGAAAACTTGTTTTGGAAGAATTCTATACCAAACTGTCGACAGTGACTATGTGGAAATTCAGGGCCCAGTCACTTGTCACTCTCAACCTTATATATTGCCATATTTTTATAATTATGAGTTTTTAAATAGCTACTATGTACTATTATGGTAGCTGGAAAAAAAATAAAATAAAGACATCTAAAGCCTTTTGGGAAAAGATCTGGAACTGCCTGAATAACCCATCATGACAAACAACTTAAAACACATTTCTCAATAGTAACTAAAACATGCAAAAGAAATGCCCATGAATAGAAGACTCTTACACAACACAATTAGCAAGCTTGATCTAAGGGCACATGTCAAACACTGAACTTAAAAGTGGAAAAGACATGGAATATCTATTTTTAAAAAGTCTCCTGTATTCTAAATCATAAAGTAAATATTCACACTTTTTAAAAACAATCAATAACATACAAACCACTTTGTTTTCTTTTTCTTTTTTCTTTTTTTAAAACTATGGAATCACATTCCCCGTCCTTTTTATTTTTTTACTTTGAGACAGGATATCACTAAGTTGCCCAGACTGGCCTAGAAATTGCAATCACCCTGCCTTAGCCTCACAAATCTTTGGGATTATAGGCCTGTGCCATAGCACCCAGCCCAGACCATTTTGTTTAACTAGAATAACCGAAGCATAAGTCAAAGATTAAAAATATGTAGGTAGATCATAAAACTAAAATAAATCAGTATCAAAATTAATGAATAGTTATGACTGAATAATTTTAAAATACTACACATCAGAAGTTCTGGGATATAACAAAATGATATTTGAAGGAGGAATGTATAGTATGTATCATAATTTATAATATGTATATATTAGAAAAACAGAACTGGAAAACTAACTCTAGGCATCCAACATAAGAAAGTAAGGCAGGAGAAACACAAGTCAGCCTCAGCAAGGCTCTAAGCAACCTAGCAAGACCCTGTTTCAAAAAAAGAAAAGGTTGGGGATATGGATCAGTGGTCAAGTGCCCCTGAATTCAATCTCTGGGACTAAAAAAAGAAAGGAAAAAAGCCAGGTTCAGTGAGGCATGCCTGTAATTCCAGCAACTGGGAAGCCTGGGTCAGAAGGATCACAAGTTCAAGGCCAGCCTCAGCAATTTACAGAGGCTCTCTCTCAAAATAAAAAATAAAAAGGCCTCAAAACATGACTGAGTAATAAAGCCCCTCTGGGTTCAATCCCCAAGATAAAAAAAAAAAAAAAAAAAAAAGTTCCACAAGGAAGCACTATGTCAGTTTCACAGTCGCGATCCATCAAATTTCCATTTTAATATTTCATAAATTTTATCAAAAAATAGAAAATGTGGGAAGAATCCCCAAAGCCGTTGATGAAGCTAGTGTAATGTTGACATAGATACTAAACAAGGACAATATGATAAAGAAAAAGTACAGACAAATCTCACCTGTCAACCCAGATACAAAACCCCCCAAAACATGATGGAAAATGAAATAATACAGCAACGCCTCATAAAATTAAAAACACATCTTAACCATGCAGGGGTTTTTATGGGAGAGTAGTCTGGTTCAACTTCGGGAAATTTTTTGTAATAAACTGTTTCTGCAGCTGGATTCACAAACCTCTCCTTCACTAAAAGCCAAGAGAGAACTCAAAATGCCAGGTTTTTATTTTTATTTATTTGGTTGGTGCTGGCGGTTGAACCCAGGGCCTCATGTATGCACAGTGGACCACTACTACTAGACTACACGCTGAGCCCCCAGATTTCAAAAATCATTTTATAAGGAACTAGCTGGGAAGTATTTAATGCTCTGACCAGAGTCTAAAGGGATGTGGATACTCAAAGCCAGGGAGCCCTGAAGTCAACCTTCAACGTGAGAGCATTCACTGAATCCTGGAAAAGTAACCCTTGGTTGTCACAGCTGTATGGGTACAGGAAACAACATTCAGAGTCACAGAAAGCGAAGAAAATAACAGGAAGTGCTCTCACACAAAGCAGGGATCCCAGAGAGCTTGTTTAAATGTGTGTGTGTGTGTGTGTGTGTGTGTGTGTGTGTGTGTGTGTGTCTTGGAAAAAGGCTATTTTAAAGTGAAATTAATAGTATACATAGTATATATCCAGTAAAATATTTAGATATTCTAAGGGATTATAATCCATGAGCAGGGGTGCATGAAATCAAGTGTTTCTTTAGTAACAGATATTTTGCTGGTCATTGCTTGTAATCACTCTAATAGCCGTCCAGGACAGTGGCCACAGGGAGAGACAGGGAACAAGGACCTTGCTACTGGCTGTCACAAAATTAACCAGTGGTCCTCTAGTTCAAACCAGTGACTCTGAGGTTACTGTCCCCTACCTCTCAGGTCTTTGAGACTTTATTGTGGACTCCCTGTAGCCAGGTGTGAATGTCCCAAGCCAATACTCTATTTCCATTTTAAATATTTTAAATATCTGTTACAGATCAATAAAAACTAGGAATCTCTTCCTGGCCTTTCCAAATCTTAAATGGTTATCTTCAATTTAAAGAACTCCACCTTGGGCTGTGATGTAACTCACGGGTACAGTCCTTGCCAAGCATGAGTGAGACTCTGAATTCAGTTTTCAACATTGCAAAATAAATAAATGATAAAATAATCCACCATGCTTTCATGGTCATTTTGATGTGGTTAAGACCTAGAGTTTACAGGCCTCTGGTTTATAAGCAGGAATACTTACAATGAGATACATGCATATCTAAGAGTGACCCTAAGCACAATTCAGCCATCCGAGGGGTTGAGAGAATTTCACTGGCACAGTCCATGTAGGTGCAAGGCAGATTTGGTCCAAAATTACTTGACATGAACTCAATCTCCCATTGCAAAGAACATGTTGCTGTGGAATACATTATTGATGTGGTAGCCTATATATATATGTGCATATGTAGGTATATATATACACATACACATATATTTGCAAAAAAAAAAAAGAAATTATAGTCAGAATGAGAGTTTGTAAATGGCACTACTGTGTTCTCTACTTTTGCAAGAAGCAGCAGGAATGTGAGCTGGAGTCATTATGTATTGTTCATGATGCTCCCCCAGAGCAGAGAACTGCTGCTCCCATGTCCATCCTGGTCTTTGGAAGGTCTCAGCTATTTGCACCCTCATTTGCTGAGAAATTACTTTAGTCCTTCTTTAATGCCATAGGTTCCCTTCTCTACTTTGCCAGAATGGTAAGGGTGGAAAAAAAATACAAGATGATATTGATATTTATGAATTTACAAAACTGTGGAAAGTGTGCCCCATAATATAAGAACCTCGAGTTCAGTCTTCATTCCCCATAAAGTGATCTATTCCTGAAGCAACTTACTTTTA